TTTTTGAGACAGGGTCTTCCTATGCAGTTCAGGCTGGCCTTGAGCTCACTTTGTAGCCCAGGCTGGTCTCGAGTGTGCAAGCATCCTCTTGCCTCAGCCTCCCGAGTACTGGGATTACAGTCGTATGCCACCACACCCTGCTATCCTACCTATTCTCAACATGCATGCACAATAAAATTTTGCATTAATCCTCTGTTTTAGAATTGAAGACTTTTGTCTGTCACTAATTTATGCTACAAATTGAAGACTGGTTCTTCAGTTTTGTTTTATGGTTTTGAGTTTCTTGTTCCTCCTTCTGATCCTCCTTCTCTTCCTCCTCCTCCTTCTCCTCCTTTTCCTCCTTCCCCCTTCCTCCTCCCCTCCCCTTCTCCTTGTTTCTCTTCTTTTTTTCAGTTCTAGGGGTTGAACCCAGAGCATTTACACTGAGTTACAGTCCCAAATCTTTTTTATTTTTTATTTTGAGACAAGGTCTGGCCAAGGCGCCCAAGTTCAAGTCTAACTAGAGGTCCTCCTGCCTTAGCTTTCTGAGGTGCTGTTATTACAGGCACGTGCCCCCACACCTAGCTACATTTGGAGGTTTTCTTAAAATGACTTTATTGAGGTATGACTGACACACAAATCTCTACATACTCAATGTATACAACCTGGTCAGTTTGGGGATAATTATATACCCATGAAACTGTCATCACAATGATATCCATCCTCTCCAAAGGTTTTCCCCACCCTTTTTTGTAATAAGAACACTTGATCATAAGATCTACCCCCTTAGCAAATTTTTAAGCACACATTTTCTAGTCAACACTATGGTTAACTATAGGCACTCTTACGTACGGCAGATCCTTAGGACCTACTCATCTTACATAGCCAATATGACCAAGAGCTTTGGACCCTTTGACCAACACCTCATTTCCCCATCCTTCCATCCCATAGTAACCCCCATTATATTATGTGCTTCTATAAGTCTGACTATTTTATATTTCTGCTATAAGTGAGGTTATATAGTATTTCTTCTTCTGTGCCTGCCCAATTTCACTTAGTATCATATCATCTAAGTCACTCATGTTGCTTATAAATTGCAAGATCTCCTGGCTAATATGCAGATTCTATATCTCCACATTTTCTTTCCATTCATCCATCAGCAGAAGCTTGGGTTACATCCATGTCTTGGCTATCATGTGTCATGTTACAACGGACATGGGATATACACATTTCTCTTTAAGGTCCTCATTTTAACTCCTTGGGATACATTCCCAGAAATAGGATGGATGGATCGTATGCTAGTTCTGTTTTTAATATTTTGAAGAACTTCGTCCTGTTTTTTTCACAGTGGCTGCACCAATTTACATTTCCACCCAGTATATGAAGGCTCCTCTTCCTCTGCATCCTAATCAACACTTGTTGTCTTCAGGGCTTTTGACAGTAGCCATCCTATCAGGTGTGAGATCTGTCTCCTTCTGGTTTTGATTTCTCTTTCTCTGATAACTTGTGATGCTGGGCAATTTTCATACAGCTGGTGGCATCTTGCACGTCTGCTCAGATTAGTTCTTGGGAAGATATTCATTTGTGCCCTTTGGTTCTTCCTTTGCCCACTTCTGTGAAGAAATGTCCCTGATCACATTCTCAATCATACTGAGAAAACTGTCACCTCCACCGCCGCTTGACTGCCCATAAACCAAGCAGTTCTGCTGTTAACCAGCTACTTTTCAAGGACTGGTTTAGGAGACAACCCTGAGCACACCCTCACACTACTCTTGACAACAGCCCAGTTGAAAGGAAATGACAGTAAGGGACCATCTGTAGAAACACTGAAATCTGGAATAAGTCAGACCAGCAGATCCCTGTAAATAGAGGCTGGCGTTTTACCTCCATAGACTCGCTCTTCTAGAGCTGTACGTCAAGGAGTACTGTAAACTGTTCAGAGGAACCCAGCGTCACATCTCCTACAAGGACACAGTGGTAGGTGCTGCACACCACAGTACACCGTCTCTGCCACAGACACCTCTACACCTGGGGTATCTGTAATAAATATACAGTAGTGATTTGCTTTATTAGGCCCACAGCTCTTATGCCTTGTGTAACTCATGGTGCTTGCCTTCTCACCTTGGCAGCTAGGACACTCACTGGTGAGTTTGAGGTCCATCTCCAGCACGTGCTGAGGCATAACATCGTTTATTTCATCTGCTAAGCTCATTTCTGATACCATTTTAGTTTTTTCCTTCTATCTTCAGTGTTTCTTGAATTTTTTATCCACTTCTAACGGTTAAAAATAGCTCATGATTTAGGTTCTTTCTACCTAGAAAGCCAAATATGCTCAATCTATATTTTTTAAGGATAGCATAAATAACAAAATAAAAGCCCAGGGCAACCCCACCGCCAAGTTCACTGCATTGTTCTGATCATGGGCTGACCCCTCTCTCTGGCCTCCCAGGTATACCTTTAAGGTAGATACGTACTCTCTGGCTCTCTCCGGATGCCGACACATCTGTAGGAAGAACTATCTCCAACCGCAGTGCTGTCCAGGCTACTGGGGCCCAGACTGCATGGGTAAGTGGCAAGACCTTAAAGACAGAATATCGAATTCTGTGATGTTAAATGTATAATGCCTTAATATAAGGAAACTGTGAAGGTCACTATATAAAGTTATATGCAGTGCACATAGGTATAGGAATTACTTCTGAAGAGTTTCTATGGTAACAAAAACTACTAGTAAATCTTAGTCAATGATAGACTCAGATCTCTGTAATCATGCCTAATATTTTTTAGGTAAAATTGAACTTTCATCCTTGTTATAGGTCATTAGTACTCAGCAACTCCAGATTTGTTGTGACATGCAAATTATTTTAAATTCTCCCATTTTGGTAGTCCAAGTCAGAAATTGTAATTCATGAATTCACTACTTGTCCCTTATCTTCTAAGATGAAGTAAAAATACCCCTTAAGGTCATTTTAAGTCGGGGAGATTAACCTTAGGCTCTGCAGCATTTTTTCCCTGATTAAAGTAATATGACCAAATTATATACAGCTTGTGAAGCTTAGAAAAGTATGAAACAGAAAAATATCAATTTATGTTCTGTCTCAGGTTGGGAAAGCTTGAATATTCTGACTTATTTCAATCTTGGTCTTTTTCTATATAACTCCTAAATCATTGAGCCCACGCTGTATGGACGACGTTGTGTTCTTTCTGTCTAATTAATGATGAAGGTGGTTAAATGAACAATAACTCCCACTTATTCACCATGACTGACATTAGGTACTAGAGCCGTCCTTGGCTCTTTATTATCCAATGCAATTCTCGGAACAAATCTTTGAGCTAGACAGCTTTATCCGCATTTTGCTTATGAAGAGTCAGCTCTCTGAGCATTACCTTTTGCAAGTTTCCTTTGGGGATGAGAAATGATAAAATAAGTTCAAGTTCAAGACTTCCTGCCACCAAAGGCTGCTCTCTTGTCTTCTTTGCCCATTGTCTGAAGCAGAACTTCTCAAGAAGAGAAAGAGAGAGAGAGAAACAGTGCCTCCGCATTTCCTTCTATCCTCTTCCACTGGGAGACCCTTCCAGCTTTCAGAGTGAATGCCTAGAGTGTGTTCCTTGTCCGGGGAAGGTCAAGGCTTAGGATTTAGACATCCTGGCCCTTCTCGCTGCTAACCACCCGGTGATAAGTTCCACCCAGCATGCTGGCACTGCGTATTCCAAAGAGCTTAGCACGTCAGAGTCAAATGCAAAGATTCAGGGTCTTTAGAGTGATTAACCTTGCAAGGTCTTTAGAACGATGAACCCGGACCTCTAGAGTTCAAGGACTTTTTCTCCTAGTTCCATATATGGTGGTGTGTGCTTTGAGCTCCTACAGACATCCTAATAGAACAGAAAGAATGTTTAGATTTATGGCCCCATTTCTAACCCATGGAAGCTAATCTGCTGCCAAGTTAGGAATCAGACACGCTGTAGACCAGAGCAGACTTTGTCTAAGGTAAGCGACAGAAGTTGCTGTGTCCACGGAGTGAGTGACTGACCCCAGCCAGGTGGGCGAAAGACAGAGCCTGTAACCAAGCTTCCGGTTTGGAACGTTTAGGCAGATGACTTCCTACTTCTGCCTCAGTCTCCTTACCTGTCAAATGAGGATAAAATGCCCTACTTTACAGAACTCTAGAAGAGATTCTTTCAACACTAACCCAAGTGAAAGAAAGGACTTTAGGAATAGTCTAAATGGGCTTCGTGCCATGGTGTTGAGCTATGTGTAAGCGAGTACAGTAAGTTTCACATCCAGGACCAGGGTGTAACAGAATCTTTGAATGTTCAGACGTTTCCTTTGGAGAGGTCTGGAGGCCAGAGACGCAAAACCTATGAAGACCAAGGCCAGGACGTTATTCCTGTTGTCCTCTCTTTGGGGCCAAAGGGTATTTCCCTTTATCTTCATATTCCAAACACACAGACTATCGTGCGAGGCTTCCTTCCTTTCACTCAGGAAAAGATAAATCCTCAGCTCAGCTGCCTCAGCCCTCACACTTAGAGGTGATGACAAGCGCTGTCTCGCCTATCGCTTTACACTTCCGCAGAACAAGGCCGTGTGGGAGCTGCTGATAGCGTGTTCTCCCCACCCGCCTTTGAGAGGAGACGCATTCCCAGCCTCCACAGGGTACCCACTCCCTTTGCCGGGCAGCCACAAGCACCCTTACTCACCGACGGGGGTGCTTTGGAAATCATGTCGATAGTGTCTTCCTCAAATAAGGAAGGAAAGCCATGGTCAGTGCTGAAAATCTGAAACTCACAGAAAGCCACAGTGGAAAAGAGTTAGCCACTGTTTTCTAAAATGCAGAATAAGGCATGAATTCTGGCACGGAGTGGAGGACAGTCCCTGACATAAGATGGTCTTCCTGCTTGAAGTTAGCTTGCTTCTCCCAATTAAACTGGTACTGTTTTGTCAAATGCGCAGAGGAAGTCCTTGCTCACTAGTGCAGAAACATATTTTAACTTTGAAACTTAATCATATTTCAATAGCAAATACTCTACTGACAGAGAAATAGGGTTTTCTTTTTCAGTACTGGAGATTAAACACGGAGCCTTCACATTAATACTAACTCTGTTCCCAGTTCTGGTTTATTTATTTAGTTTTGTTTTGTTATTGTTTGGTTTGCGGGGGTTTTTGTTTGTTTGTTTTCTTGTTTTGGGGTTTTTTTTTTTTTGGAACACAAGGTCTCACTAACTCCCTAAGTTACCCGGGCTGGACTCAAACTCATGATCCTCCTGCCTCAGTCTCTCAGTGGGCTGGGGTTACAGGCGTGCATCACTCTACTCAGCTTGTAATAGAGTTTTTATTTGTTCATCTTGTTCTTTTATTGCACCATGAATTTATGCACTTTGTATAACAACTCAAAGCAGTAGAACCCCAATGTATGCAAGGAGGTCACACCTAAGCTCAACTGCGGCCAAAACAATCCTTTTTCAGAGACAAATGGTCTTGACGTTTTGTTACCAAATTCCTCAACATTGATTTTTTTTTTTTTTACACTACATGGGTTGCAAATCACAAACAACGCAGATCCAAGGGCATTCTCCCTGACTTTCATTTTTCTTCTTTGAGTGACAAATAGCACTGAGTTCACGGTCAGATCTGTCTCACTCCATTTTCCAGGCAAATGATTGCATCCAGAGCTACACAGACACGTTTGGGGTCTGATTTCTGCGGCCCTTGTGCACCAAGGTTTTAAGCAAAGGTAGTGATGTGGAACAGGCACCTCTGGGTCTTTTAGGAGATCGAGTCACAGGGGGGTCCCTGGCCTCTTGCTGGGCAGGAAGTTGATTGTCTGCCTGGCTGATGATTTGCTGACAGCTTACAGTGGCTGAATCTGCTGCGTGGCAAAAGTCATGATACCAGAGACCACCGGAGTCGTGGTGACCCGAGGGAAATGTCACAACAGCCTCAATCTTATCAGCACCTTCAGCCTCACAATGCCTCAGAAATGCCCTCGTAGCACATTCTGTATCTCTCTCAAGGGCAGTTGCTAAGAATGCTAGTTTTCTTCTCTTCATTCTTTTTTTTTTTTTTTTTTTGGTTTTTCTCCGGTACCGGGAACCGAACTCACGACCTTGCGCTTGCCAGGCAGGTGCTTTTGCCACTGAGCTAAATCCCCAGCCCCTTCTTCTCTTCATTCTTAATGGGGGTTGAGATGATAGAAAATGATTTGAGAAGCAAGAAATAAATGTATCCTTTTGCCTTACAAATGTATTTAAAAACCAAACAAGTATTTTCACATATTCTTAAGATACTGTATTCAGGCCATAAAATGAGGATTCCTTGTACCCCCCACATGCTTGCCACCTTCTTCCAAAGTTCCTTCCAAGGTTGGCCCACTCCTAAAAATCAAGCCTTTATTGAGCACCTACAAGCAGACTGCACATGTTCACAGATCTGATAGGACCTACTCCTACTCACGTGCATCATACATCCCTAACTCCAAGAGGCTCCACGGACACAAAAGCAGGTGGGGGAAAGCAGTTGTTCCTGGGAGCCCAGGTGAGGCCTTGGAGGAGTTGGGCAGTTTGTCCTGTGGGCCTGTGCAGCTAACCCTGGTCACGTCCCGAAGGCCCAGCCTCCGGTCACCATCACACCAGGGCCAAGGGCTTCAGCATACAAACGTACAGGGTGTGTTCACATTTACACCCTAAGTCTCTGCCTCGGCCTCTAGCCCACTGGGTTGCTAGTCCCTGGAAGACAGAGAGAGGAAGGAGCAACTCCTACAGGGAAAAGTGCGGCAGTGCCTGCAGAGTATTTGATGTAGAGGCTCAGGAAAACCCCCAGGACATAGAAATTACCAAGCAGCCTTCAGTCTTAGCACTGCCAAGCGTCCTCTGACCCATGAATGGCTGGAAGGTTGTGCGTTTCAAAACAGAACTCACGGGGCCTCGAAGCTTCAGAAATAAGCACTTATGACAGTCTGGCCAGTCCTTCCAGACCACAGCAAGAGCTGTGTGGGCTTTCTTAATGCCCTGGACAAACCTTTTTTTATTTTCTCATGAAAACAGAGAGAAATCAAATCATTACCTGTTTTGAAAATAGTAGCAGACATTTAATGAATGTTGAATAAATCCATCAATTCAGTCAATGGCTTGTAAAAAAGAAATCCTGCAAAATATTGTTAGCAATCTAAGCAGAGAAGCACAATGAAGCTGGGCGTGGTGGCACACGCCTGTAATCCCAGCACTCGGGAGGCTGAGGCAGGAGGATCCTTGCAAGTTCGAGACCAGCCTAGGCTACAAAGTGAGATCAAGGCCAGCCTGAACTGCATAGCGAGACACTGTCTCAAAAAAAGGCAAAAAAAAAAAAAAAAGAGAGAGAGAGAGAGAGAGAAAGAGAGAGAAGCATGATGACAGGACTTTAAAGTCAGGCAGAGCTGGGCAAGAATCTTATCTCTGAACCTATCCGCAAAGTCACCTAACTCCCAAACCCTCTATGCCTCAATTTGCTCTTAGATAAGATAGTGGTAAAAACCACATCACAGCGGCACTGTGCAGGGTCTAAGTAGGTCCCCCAAAGAGGAGACAGGGACCCC